TACCGGCTTGTAGAGAACATATTTATACACATGAGATCCGCCTGATTCGTGTTCATACATATATGAAAGTATAAAGCCACAATTTTGATGTTTATGACCATGCTATAAATGCACAAACACCATATATTTATGTAATTGAACAAATGTGAGTTTGTCATCCTTGAATTCTACCAAACATGTTAATTTACACTTATGGTCCCTAAACTATAAGGAACTTGTCATTATGTTCATGACTGCTTAAATCTTAACAGTTGGTAATCAGGTCATTCCCTCCATCAAACACGAGATGCTAAGTAGTTGCGAAGTCTTGGTAAGTCACAGTCCTGGCCCTCAGATGAGTAGATGACCAACACTAGCAATAGCGGTGTAGTGGTTGAATGCAAAAAAAAAAAAAAAGGCAAAGTGTTATACAACCTGAACATGCATAATTATTTGTCTAGGTTGTGAGCTCACTAAGCATTTTGATCACCCATTATTGTTAACTGCTTTTCAATAATCTCTATTAAGGCAAAGATCAAGGTCTCAGGGTGATTTCTCAGGGCTCATGATCATGTTTTGAAATGGGACAATTGTTTGGTTTTATTATTCAATAAGCCTTTCATTGAGTGGGTGTTTTTAGACAATTTCAAATGTTAGGAATGATTATGAAACAAATAGTATTTTGTTAAATGATTTAGATATTCCTTTTATAATGAATAGTATTTCTATTAGGGTCGTGATATCTCCACTGGAGTAATTTATTCATCCACTTGATATCATATTATTTTGACATTTTTGCCCTTCTTTTTAATTTTCAAAAATATGAAAAAATTGAAAATATACCAAACGTCGTTTTCTTCATTAACCCTAGTCGTCATACAAGAAACTCCGATCACTTCTTCCAAGTCGCCGACCCTCCTTCGTAATCGGTCCCCGTTTTAAATCGATCCCTAGATACACGTTCAGTAAAACCGAGACCCATCCCCAATCGATGCTCCAACTGTGTGTGCAGGTTTCTATCCTAATCTCTGCTTCGTTTCTGGATGGCGTGAATGGACTGAATCCGAAATCATCTATACCCAAATCTTAACTAAACTTTCTTTTAGCCTTTTTTAAATCAGCAAATTTGAATACTTTCAGACTTGTAATAACACTGGTGAAAGCACCAACAATTCTACTGTTGGCATTGCTATTATCTGATAACTCTGAATCACCAGAGGCTGAAATGGATAAATACAAACTGATTATATATAATCACTATATTATCTCTTATATACAAGATGTGATTTTGTTCATAATCATTTCAATCAAATAAACATACATGTATGGTGATTATCAGAAAAACAAAGGGGGTTGTACATGGTGATTTGGTTGCTTGTTGCAGGTGTGATGGTGTTGGTGAAGGTGAAGCCAATGAAGAGGGAGCATGGGTGGCGATGATGATGGTAATGGCCTGAAGTGGAATTGTGATGATTGTTCATGTGTATGATGAGAGTTATGTTCAACTGGCTCAGTCAAGAAGACGATGGAGGCTGCGTGGGAATGGCGTGTGGCGTGAGATGATTGTGTTGGTGATGACAGTGTTCTTGGGAGAAGATGATGAACTTATCGTCGGCTATCAGCTGTTGGTTGATGGGGTGACGAGTGTTTGATGGCAGTTGGTGGAATGTAGAAGACGATTGGATGAAAGAGTGAACAAGAAATAGGGTCGTGCATATCTCAATGTTAGAACATGGGGTTACAATGGTGGTTGTGATGGTGTTTTCCGGCGAAGATAAGGAGCAAATATAACCCATTTATCTCTTTCACATTAAATTAGCAATAAGGGCAAAAATATCATAACATTTTAATTTTAAGTGGACGCATAAAATAAAAAATTGGAAGTATCAACTCCCTTTCTATTAAGTTCATATTGTTTATATATATATATATATATATATATATATATATATATATATATATATATATATATTTATATTTGGGTGTTATAGCTTAGTAAATTGATTATTTTACATATCTATTAGATTTGGTAGTGATATTCATTCGAGTCATACAACCGAGAAAAAAAAAAAAAAAAATTGAAGACATTGGGTTTGCCACCATGGTCTCTAATTAGCGGGGTGGCCCTATGTAACATTATGATCTTATCGTGACTAATAGGTAACATCATCATCCCATAAAATATACATGTATAACATATAAGTTTATGGTTAGTTGGCTTAAAATAAATTCTTCGATGGTTTTTGAATTTCGATCACAATGATTATTTTAAATATTAAATGATATTTCATTGTAATGTATTATACTTTTTAATAGAATGTTTTGTTCTTTATTAACATAATATACTTACTTGAAAAAAATCATCATAATAAAATAATTATTTGGATAACTTTTTTTATTGATTTGAAATATCAAATTAAGTTATATAGTTAACAATGCGTTTAATATTATTAGTAATTAAAAAGAATAGTCTTTTAACATTTGTTTAGTTGAACATTTTATTTCATTTTGATATTTTTTTTTATTTAAATTACCAAATTAAGTGTATTAGATTAACAATTCAAAAGGTTGTATAATTAAAAAAATAATGTTTTATATGGAGGAATATAATTAAATTGATAAATTAAGTATATTAGGTTGAAAGGTAAAACAGTTAGCATTAAAAATAAAATTATTTGGTTCTCATGTATAGTAGAGTAGAAGTTTGATAACTTTCAATATAAATACGTTTAATTACCATATAATTTGTTTATTTTAAAGTATGTTTAATTTGTAAACTTTAATTATTACAACTTAATAAGCTTTTTGAATAATTAATATTAATTATATAAACAAGTTTCAATGGATTTTTTTTATTCTTATTTTAAGTTCAATAAGAAACTCAATTATTAGTTAAATTAAATGTCATCTTTATTGATAATCTATTTTTTAGTTTAAAAATAATATAATTATTTTAAAACCTTAAAATCCTAAAAACTCAATTTAACAACATATTTATAATATTAAATATTTACCATATTTACCATCATTTAAAAGACTTTGTCGTATTAATTTGTTTGTAATATACATTCTATCTTAAATTATATTAAACTGATTTTTTTTTAAAAAATCAAAACTATTTAAAAGTTTAACTTTAATGTTAATTATTCAACAATCAGCCTAATATATATATATATATATATATATATATATATATATATATATATATATATATATATATATATATATATATATATATATATATTAGAAAAGTTTTAGGCTCGTGCAAAGCACGATCCATGAAGGGTAATTTGGGTATTTCTTTTACCGTTATCTAAAGTATATTGTGCACATAACCAAAAAAGTAATAATACATTGCTATAAATGGGTGGATTTTCAAAAGTTAGAAGTCAGTTTAATGTGGACATGTTTTATGAGGGAATATTGATCATATAACTTAATAATATTATGCTTGTCTAGATCGCTTGTAGTAAAATAATGCCACAACAAGGACACTGACAATAAATTAAGGTGAAATAAGTGGAATTCCTTTAGTTTGTCGACGTATCTTAGGATAATCACCATGATATATAAAGATTCATGACATTCTTGGAAGGCAACATAGATCAAGATCCGAGATCCACATCTTACGGCTAAACCATTGATTTTTGACATTAATTGACCAAATAGAATAGAGAGTTTTTGACAGATATCCAATCATATTGCACAATCCAACTTATAGCCTCAAAACCTTTTTATGAAAACTTAAAAACCTCAGTTAAATCTTACATATCTACATTGTAATCCTTTTTGCCATACTTTGAATGCCTAATTCTAATATCCTAAAACATGATAAATGTCAAATAGTACAGATAGAACACAAATGTATAGTAAAATAAGAATATTGTATACTAAAAAGATCAACTACTTTTTAATACATGTGTATAAGATTTATGCCCTCATCAAAATATTGATAACCAGTGTAGATGCATCTTTACACTAGTGTTTGAATTTAAAATTCATCAATTACATATAAATATTCATAGTTGATGAATCTCAACATTTGTATGAATTTTAAATTCATCAACTACATATAAATCCTCATAACCATGTCAAAACTATCCTAACTTGAAAGAAGAAGAGTATTTGGTAAACACATGCCACAAACTATTTATAAATATTTATAGCTTCACTTTGTAACTGGGTTTTAAAGAACATATGATGTTTAATAACACATCGTTCTGCACTTCCTGTTTCAATTGATCAATTTTTCTTAGTGTGATGAATAAAATATTATGTTGGTCTTTTTTTCATAAAAATTGGTAGAAGCAATTTTTTTTTTTGGATTGGCATTTCATCAAACTCCTCGTGGTCATCCCCTATTGAAGAGCACTAGAGCACTGGTCCAGATTTTCAATCCTTCTTTCTTCCATAGCAGTTGACCCGAAATTTATCGTCACTTGCTTAAACTTAGGGTTAATTCTCAAAAATTACCGTCATAAGTTAAGAATTTAAGAATGAGTCCCAAGTTTTAGCCAGTGAAGAAAAAAGGATGGCTATGGATATTCAGAAACATACCAAAGAAAAAAGATATGTATCGATAAGCAGATTCGCTGACCACTGAGTGAAATCTGTAAGATTACTCATCCTTAGTGAGAGTGATTGTAATAATGTTTATTTTCCTTTGTTGTTTTCATTAACCAAGGAGAATTCTGCATTTCTACTTCTCATGGTCAACCCTTTCTACTTGTCGACAAATCAAATTTCATTTAAATACAACCAAAGGGCTCTAAGATTTTATTTCTAACGAAGAAGCTATCGTTTTATTGAACATTAAAGTACTTTTTTTTTGGCACTTGAGAAAAGCTGGTAACCTCAAAGGGACACAAGCCAAAACTATAAGGGTTAAAATACAAAATGGTGTTAGCTTGGTCTACTTCGTAATTAACAACATCTCAAGGGGTATTCTTGAACACTTGTAATTTCCCCAGAGCAGTTCAAACTTTAGAGTCCAACGAATCTCTCTCTCTCTCTCTCTCTCTCTCTCTCTCTCTCTCTCTCTCTCTCTCTCTCTCTCTCAAACACAGTGTTCATCAATGGCGACGAGTCTATGCATCATCTTCTGCATTCTCTTCATATCTTCATCATCTGCTCTTGATGAGAGTAAGTTCACCCTCTCTCTATGTTGCAAATTAGAATTATCTCCACTGTATTGCTTGCGGATAAATCCCTAAATTTACTGTAGGAGATGACTTAGATTTGATATTGTTTATGAACTTTACCTTTCCTATTTGCTTATTTCAAGGGCATGATCTAATTTCGAACCTCCAATTATTGGGATTTCATTGTTCCCAATCCGATTTCTCTGTTCTTGTGGTTAATTACGAAGAATTGCAATGTAGTTAGTAAATTCGAAGATTGAACCAATTCTTTTACGGATCTGATTTCTAAATCCCCGCTTAGTTTCGAACTTTACTTCATCTTTTTCTCGTTCTTCTTCTTGTTCTTGTTCTTTTTTCAATGTAGTACGATTAGTGTACATTACATTTAAGATCTGAAATACTAACAAACTGAATTCAACCAAGAGAAAAAAGTGCACTACCTAACATTTAAGATCTCATCGGAATAATTGGAATCATCTTGTTCCAAAATCACCGAAATTAATACTCTTTTTCACATTCATCTAGATCACTAAATTTCTTACCTTTTATCTTCTATACTTTAAGAAATATATACATTAATTCAAAATGAGCATATAAGTTGTATTTCTTGTTAACAGAAAACGTCACTAAAAACCCAGCCGACGAGCTAGTAGCCATAGTGAACATAAATAGAACATCCCACAAATCATCCTCCCTCACCAACAACCTCGGCCTCGCATGCATAGCTCTCCAATACATCAAAGCCTACCAAGGAAAATGCGATGAAGTCGGTGGGCCCAACGCCAAAAAACCCGCCGAATCTGAATTCCCCGATACCTTCGCCCCCAACTGCGGAGTCGAAGTGGCCACACTCGCCCCCATCACAGGCCGTGTGCTCGGGTGCCAATCAAAATACATCAAACCCGATAAAGCGTTCACACAAATACTAACGATGAAGAGCACAAGTTTGAATATAATCTACAACACCACCCACACCGAGATCGGGGCGGCAGTCAACGGCTCAGATGGCGGTGGTCCGTATTTCTAGTGTCTTCTTTTTAGTAACGGGAAATCGAATAGTAGCTTTGTGTTGGAAAGGGGTGAGGCTAAGATTACTAGGCCTGGTTGCTTTAGTGGTGCTAATGATGAGTGTAGTGGTGTGAATGGTTTGTTGGAAAATTTGAGTTTTTTGATGATTTTTGTTGGTGTTTTTGTTGTGGGATGTTATACAATTTTGGTATGAGTTTTCTTGAGTATTAAGTTTTTATTTTTTTTTTTTGAAATTCCTTTGTATTTGTTCATTTATACGAGCTTAAAGATGTATTTGTACTAGTGTTGTTAGGTTGTGTATGTTATACTGGATACGTATGTTTTTTGTTGATAAGATGAGGAAGGATGTTACGTCTTTTACTCACGCAAGTATCTGTCATCATGTCCGCTTTTTAGGGGAGGAAAAAGTTGAAAGTTTATCTTATTATTAGTGGTAAAAATCTAAGCCCAATGCACATTATGTTAATATAATCAACTTGTTAGGTTGTATGTTTGTCCATGTCTATTTTTCGTAACAGACTAGATGAGAATTTATAAGGAGGCATCAAATTCAAATATAAGCATTAACTTCCTTAATTGATATTTATATTTTCTCATGTTGAACATGAGATTGGTTGTTGGGACACTTAAATGTAATGTTTCAGTTATATTATGATAAATAGTTTTAGATTATAAAATTGTTATAAGATAATGCCACAAAAGTTTACAATTAATAACATGCCGAACTTTCCTTCTCAATTTGTATAGAGCTTATTAAGTGTTTTGATACAAAATCATAAATTAAAGAATCTTTCATGTTGAACATGAGATTCGTTGGACCCTCTTTAATGTCACATTGCAATTATTAAATGATAAATAATTTTAGATTTTAAAATTATTGTAAGATAATACGTGAAGTTCACAATTAGTAACATGTTGGTGTTCCTTCTCAATTTCTATAGTTTGGTAGAGGTGATTAACAGTTTTAATACAAAAACATAAATCAAAGAATTTTGTGTGTTGAATGTGAGATTGGTTATTGGGATACTTAAAGAGTTGTTTTTTTTTGTTTAGATCTTAAGTGGTGTATGGATAAATGGATTAATGGATAATGATGTTTCTACTCTAATTTCAATAAAATACCAAAGGGATGGAGAGAAAACGCCCTATTGATTTTATTCATAACACTGTATTAATCTGCACTCAAAAGAATAACATAAAATGAATATTTACATAAGAAAGTTAGGGCTAGGGTCACCTCAATCCTATAAGAACTAATAATAATATTACCCCCTTCCAACTAAAATAAAGGATAACATATATTTACATAAGAATGTTAGGGCTAGGGTCAGCTCAACCCTATAAAAACTAATAATAATATTATCCCTTTCCAACGTAAATAAAAAATAACATAAAAGGAATATTTACATAAGAAAACTAAGGCTAGGGTGAGCTCAACACTTTAAGAACTAATAATAATATTAGCTCCTTTCAACGTAAATAAAGAATAACATAAAAGGAATATTTACATAAGAAAGCTAGGGCTAGGGTGAGTTTAACCCTATAAGAACTAATAATAATATTACCCCCTTCTAACGTAAATAAAGAATAACATAAAAGAAATATTTACATAAAAAAGATAGGGCTAGGGTCAGCTCAACCCTATAAGAACTAGTAATAATATTACCCCTTTCCAACGTAAATAGGGAAATAAATAAGAAAAATCGTCACTTCCCCTCAAATCGGATTTGAATATCAATCATATCCAACTTGCTCTTCGTATTTTCAAATTTATTATTTGGAAGGGCGTTGATGAAAACATCAACAACTTGAAAATCTGATGAAACATTCAACAACTCTGAAATTCGAGATTCTAAATAAAGTGGCGACCAATTCCCACATATTTGGTTATTGGCGAATTTAGAACCAAAAACCACGCAGTTTCTTATTTAAATAACATTGAAACTGTAACATCCCATTTAAAATATAATAATTAAATAATAAACCCGAAACCCCGAGAAGCAATTATTATTATTATTATTATTATTATTATTATTATTATTATTATTATTATATGTTATTATAGTCCAAAATCAAATAATAATTATCGGAATGTTAGTTTTGGGGGTTAAAGTATAAATATCAGACTTAATTTGAAAGGATCTTGGATGGCTGGGGTTAAAAGGGTAAACTATGTGCCCTAAGTTGAAAATAATTGGTCATGGAGGGGCCATATGGTAAGTATTCAAATTTGATATGTAATGATTTTCAGAAGGGAGGGTTTAGATTGTAAATTAAAGACTTAATTTGAGAAGAATAATGGAGGGACTGAAATTGTCAATATGGGCCAATGTTTGAGAGCGAGTGGGACTTATAACCCGTCACCTCCTCGTCCTAACCCTAAACCTAGCAACACACATCCAGCCGCCATCTTCTTCTCCCTCGTCCAGCCGCATCTCCCTTCGACTCCTTCCTGTTCCGATCAACCAAATGTCGCCGGAGGACCTTGCTGATGGCAAGCACATCTCGTTCCATTGTTCCATTGCCGAATACAACCACACAACGTGGGTGTAGCTGTTAATCCAAACTTAGTCAATCACGTAATTATCCTTAGGGGTATTTTAGTCCTTCTTGTAGAGTTTGAATTAGTAAAGGCCATGTAGGCCACGTTTATTTTGCAGATATTTAGTATAGTTTAGATAGGTTTAGTTGGCTCATGTTTTATTGCTTTGACTAGGTAGAAGTTGTTCCCTTTAAAAGTGGAGTAGGAAGCTAGGTCGTGTATATATATATATTGTATGTTATGATACTGAATAAGAAGCAATAGTTTAGAAAGATGTAGCCTACGTATGTTTTGGGTTTGTTCACAGGGGCATGTTCCAACAGTTGTTGTCGTTTGTTGAGTGTCGCCATCTATGCTGGAATCTGGAGACCGACGACGTGGTTGTATCGCTGCAACCTTCTTTCTTCTCTTCTTACTATTAACCGTCGTGGTTACCGCTAACGTTGTTGATGTCGTCACCGTGTCCGAAAAAGACGTGAGGTGTTCCGCTGCCAGTCGCGTTTGTGTGTGCTTCAGCCCGTGTGACGCAAGCATGTGAGTGGGTTGTGGTTGTTGTTCGACTGTGAAGACTCGCTTGGCCAGAGAAGCCTCGTGAAGAGCCACCATGGCGGCCGACCATGGTGGTTGCCGCCGTTAACCGATGCTACTACCGCCAAGCTCAGCCACTGCCACCGCCGCCGTGCGCCTCTAGGTGGGTGGCTGGGTCTATTTCCCAATCAGAAGTGTATTGGGTGTGTTTCCATTGCTAAGGTGTTATGTGTGGGTGTATGTTTATTAGTGTATGTGGTTATATTAGTATGTGTGTGTTATTTGGATTGTGTTGTGTAATCATGCCGGAATAATCAATAGAAAAACTTGTAACCACCACCGTGAGGTGGTGGCTACCGCCACCAGTCGCCGTGTCGGGTGGCGGTGTGCTTTGATTGCATTTGGACCTCGCTTTGGGGATGTTTGCACAATGTGGGATCAATGAAACCCTAATGGGCCCAAAGAAAACCGAGTGGTCCCAATGGAACCCTAATGGGCCCAATAAGGCCCAATGTGACCTAAAACCCAACCAATAGACTAATGGGCTAATATTGGGTTGGAAAACTTTAATTAGAGTTTGGAAAACCCTAATCGCATAAGACCCTAATTTTGAGAATTAATCGGGACACACACAAGATTATTTAATAAATTGAAATACTAAATAATAATCATTGACAAAATTAACCTAAAAGCAATATTGGACTTAATGGATTAAGTCATTAGTAGATTAAGTCTTTAATGGGTTAAGTAAGAAACACTTAACTGTAACGACCCGAAAATCAAGGGTAAAAATTTCTTTTTTAATATAACCCAAAATAGATATCATTTATTCCAAACATTTCAAATCATCATTAAAATCATTAAGTAATACAATTACATTACATAATATTTAAAGAGTAAAGGAAACGCTAGAAAATAAGGAACTAGTTGTGCTAACAGTTAACCATGATCCTAATTAAAGAAAAGATGCTACGGACGTGATTAATGGGTAATGGAAAGTAATTTTTCACAAAACTAGATTATGCTCTTATAGGAAACATTACGTATATCGTCTGATCAACCGATCACATAATCAACATGAAGAAAGTAAATCATAAATTAATGTTACCGAATAAGGAACGTGGTGCCCAAACTTGAATATTGGATCTCACTTACAAAGTCTATCTAGAAGTAAGAACGCATGAACATGATCAAACATCATAATATCATAATATGCACCAATCATACATATACCCATACTTTTTTTTGGGGGGGTTTTGATAGGCATACAAAAAGCTTATTTTTATATGTAGCTTGACAAACAAAATCAGTTGAGTTTCACAAGGTACACTAATATGCTTTCAAAAAGAAAATGATTCTAACCCTAAAAATCCCTACACTTCAAAACAAAAGTAAGAACTAGTAGCAACGCTATGATCCCACCAGAAGAACCTCCAACTCTATATATCCAATAAGGATCAAACGTAGTAAGACTCTGATCCAAATAACACGAAAACCCCACAACGGTTATCAAAACAAAGAAAACTAGAAAGGCATAAGTGGAAATACCGATTAAAGGTTCATCTTCAAGCTCCAATTCTTCAAGAGTCTGTGATTTCTTGTCAACAAATAGTGGTGACAAGAAATGTTGAGAAAAACTAGTAATCAAATTTCAGAATTATTCGATTGTTGTAAAATTTAGTTATGGTATTGTTTGCACTTTGCACTAAACTTAAAACATTTTGAACAATTGTATTATAATTAAATTTACCCTGATTTAAATTATTTCAATAAATCTATGTCACGTGTCCATAAAAAGAGTACAAACTTTCACAAAAATAAGACGAACTTGAAAGCTAAGCGTTAAAACATAATAAAAGGAGAAAAAAAATGTATTTAGATTAAAAAACCATATGAGTAAACTTCACAACAACATATAAATATAATGTTACAAATTACACTCTGAGCCCTTTGACTTATCTGCATTAAACTTTTTCAACCATTTCTTTTGTGAATTTGTAAGATGAGATGTTGAAGTAAGAAAAGATGGATGTTTCTCAGATGATGAGCCTCTTTGAGATGGAAGTTCAGCAGGAAGTGCTGAAGCTGTGCTTGTTAAGGCGTTTAGCACAAGAAATGCAAGAATGGGAGAAAGATCCAAAGTCCCTCCAAGTGGTGGAATAACCCCGCGAAAAATATTTAAATATGGATCGCATAAAGTGCTGTAAAAATAAAAATATAAAACCAACATTAACAATTTTTTAAATTTCTAGTGCAATAATGTAGTAATGTTACTATAACTTGGTGGATTTTCATTTTTTCAAAGTATAATAATATTGTGAGAAAAAATTGGAAGTACAATGCTACAATTGGGTAGATTTTTTCGAAGTGTAACGCTTTAATAAAAAAACAAAAGTAGAATGTTGTAATAGAGAGAAATGAAAGTATGTTGCAATTTCTTGTATTTGGTTTTTTTTTTTTTATAATAATACCTGAGGGGGTTCACAATGACTTGAGGAGTGTTTGGAAACCAGGTAAGAACTAGCCGAGCAACCAACAATGAGTTGTAAATATTTAAAAAATTTAAAATACCATTTGATACCACGAGCCCCGCCAATGAATCTCCAGGAAGAATCGCGGCAAAATTGTGATTCGAGAGATTGTTTGATTTCATGTGGCTTCTAAAATTAATCTGAAAGTATAATACACACAAAAGGTGAAGTACATGTGATTCGTTGTATTTAGCCCTAAAATTTGTTGAGAAAATGATGACACATTGGAGAATTAGAAGGAAAAGATAAATGAGGGTGAACAAGTTAAGGATTAAGACTTAATAGATAAAGTCTCCTTTCTTTGATTTTATCTGTTAAGTCGTTCTTTCTGCAAAGTCTTCTGACATCTGACTGAAACCATGTTGTCATTCTTACTCAGTCAGCAATATTTTTTAGCCGATTGGGTAAGAGCTAAGAGGTGAAATTTTAGCGAAACAAACGGTAAGACTGCTGACTGAGTCAGAGGTTACCTCTCACTGACCGGTAAGAGGCAACACAAACAGCTCCTAACTCATATATAGTTATCAGATTAAGTCATGTATTCCTTTTTAAGGTCTTTAAGTCAAAAAGTAACATCTTAATGTATATAAACAAGCAAGGAAGAAATTAACATCGCCAAAAATTTGTCTCTAATTTTCTACGATTGGAAACACGTAATTCCTCTCTACCAAGGTAAACTATGCCCTTTTGGTGAAATGTAAATGCTTCAAACGTTAATTGTAAAAAAAAAAAAAAAAAAGAACAGAGTATAATCAAATTAACCACGAATATGAATATGAACTCGAATGAATTAAGAATAGGTCTATTAGTTGCGAAGCAAAAACACCCTGAATTGTATTTAGCAAATTGTAGAACAGCGGCATTGGTTACGAAGAAACGAATTACAAGCATTAGTTATAGAAGCCTAAAGGGTAAAAATATTAAAATACCTGGCAGAATTTGTGGTATTGAGAGGCGGCAGAATGCAATTTGGTGAAAAGGGGATTGTTGGAAGCAAAATGATGAAGATCACGGAGACATTTATCAATGGAGTTATGGAAATTACGAACGAAACTATCGGGTGATGCAGTGACTATTTTTTGGAGATTAAGAATGGGGTTTGTGTTGGGATGAAGTTGGGTGGTGATGAGAGATGTGGATTTGAAGAACACGAGTGAAGAGGGGCTGAGAATGGAGAGAGGGAGATCTAATTTCGTGAATTTCCCGTTGGATTTACTAGTGTCGGTAGATTTGGTGGTGGATTTATCGTCATGACATGGATTTTTGGTTCTTGAAGAAGATGAAGATGATGAATGCATTGTTTTGAGAATGGAAGGGGTTGAGAGGAGGAAGACGAGATGGGATTTGGTAACGAGTGGATTTGGTAACGAGTGGATTCACGCTTTCTTGTGAATGTGCAAACTGAAGTATCGCAGTTTAGTATAATTGTTTAATTTTATTATAGATATTTGGAGTAATAAATCTAACATGTATAATCTTAAGCAGGCCAACAAACTTTCGTATATTGGTTTAAATGGTTCATCGTGATTATTTTTTTGCATTTGAGGGGCACGTACTTGTGTTTTACCATTTGAAAATATCATTTTACCCATTTTAACAGGAATTTCTGCTTAGTCACTTGCCAAGTAAGCTGGTTAGTGAATACATATAACCTGGTGAGTCAGCACATACTCACAAATGATTCAACTCGACGACACACTTGCAAGAATAGGGTCAACCATCCACATCTCTTTAACCCTTTCTTCTTAACCTATACATACATGTTTTTTTTTTTCTAATGACCTTTTTTTCTTCGTGCGAATATGCACATGGAGTATTTGAATCATGGCTTCATCCACGCTGAGAAAATTTATAGGCACAAAGACCATCAAGTGAAACACATGATAAGGGTTTTAATTTTGCTCACAGGGTGGAGGAGCTCCGGCCAGTGTACGCTTCTACCATATCAACTCTTCCTTCTCCTAAATCAGGATATGTTGTTGTTAATTCAATGGAAATGTTTTCGATGATCCTATTGGTGCTTGATTTAACTCCATCGATGTCCCCAACGACGTCTCCAATGTGGCAGAACAAGGTGAATCATGTGACGCCGCCGATGATGCAACTTCTGGGGAGTAGGTTGAAGATGGATCCGGTTATGGGTTTGATTCGTCGACGGTAGTTGCTCAGGAAGTCATTGACACCGGTCAATCCCCCAACAAACCTCTACTTTTTCCGAATAGGGTTCGCCGTGGACAACGTACATTGACACTGGAATGCCATCCTTTCGCTCTGATTACTTTGTAAGTGAAAGAATCGGTGAATCCGATCTTAAGCCTTCTAAAATCTCTATACCTTCTCCATAATTTCTCTTTCTGATTCTGAAATCTCCATGTGACATCACATTCGTTTGGATTTGAGGTGTTGACTGGTGTTTGTTAGTCGAGAAACACTATTGATTTGAAGTGTTTTAGGTTGAATTTCTTGATAGCTATCAAAACTCCCTTATCAGAACAGTTTATTAACCTTGTATCATCGCAATCACTAGAGCTCAAGCTCATATTCGTATCATTGCAAGAAACAACGACAAAAGCGAACCCCAACAGGGTGTTTCCTCTTCTTCTCATAGTCAATACCCCTCGGCTTGGCCTGAAATTCACGAACCTGCACTAAAAATCGCCACACTTCCGCTACCACTCTTTAGTCAGGTTCTCTCCATGGGCCAGTAACGTCGGTGATTAACCCAATCGCAGTCACCACAATTACAAATTGGGTTGAGGGAGATAGTGAAATCTGGAGCGCGAGATGTGGAGAAGGGAACGAGAGTACTAATTTGCTCCAAGGTAGGATGACCCAAATAAAAACTAGGGTAAACATTATCACACCCACGTGGCAATGACCAGGACTTCTTTAATCCAGGTGGCAATGATGTGGAATTGCTAAAGTGCAAGGTAGGATGGGTGTCATCGGGTGACCCCTTCAAAAAATTTTAAAAAAAAGACCTTTTAAAACATAAAAATACAAGTACATGCCCCTCAAATGCAAAAAATATTCACGAGGGACCATTTAAACGAATGTACTAAAGTTTGTTGGGCTACAATGACAATAACCCTAATCTTAAAACCCATGAAAACTATGAATATTTTGAAGGGAAATTAAATAATAATATCCATATTATATAAATATGGTTGTTTTTTTAAAACATAAATGTTAGAAGGATTGTCATGATAACACTCCTAGCATTTTGTTATATCATTATTTTTTACTGTCAACTCCTTTTTTTATCACTAGCACTGTCACAGAAGAAAATATTGTTCCTCATCATATCCAACATTTAGGAGGAGAATGTTGAATCAAGAAATATTGATTATGATGATGTGGTATTTTTGATAAAGAAGTTTGGAAAAATAGATAGAGAGGTTGAGTTGTCTATATTGAAGGTGAAGAACCTTTGATATATCTATATATTTTAGTGTGAGCATTTGTAACATTTGGTATCGCATTGCTTCCTTATTCAAGGTCGTGACCCAATTATCGGTTGTCATGAGGCTTAGGGCATTGGGGAAGAAAGGATTTGGCAATCTTTGGATGTAGATATTATGGTTTTAGTGATCCAAGAGTTTGATTGTGTTTCAGAGCCCAAGGGTATAATCGTAATTTGGGAAGTTCGGGTCTTCATGAATTTTGGGTTATTGTTCGGGAGGTTTTAAGGCGGGGTGATTTGTTAGAAGTGTAGGGCTTCTTGTCACCTTTTCATGGATATAAAGTTCGTCGGAAACGGACTTAGAACGAAGAAGTTAGTGCCAAGTGAAGTTAGGGTTTTAGAGGTTCAATGAGTACGTGGGGCGTACTCATTATGAACGTGGGGCGCAAAGGGTTGACTGGTTGCGGATGGTCTTAGAGTACGTTAGGCGTACTAAGAGGTACGCAGGGTGTACTCCCTTTAGAGAAAAACCCTAATTTTGGGGTTCCTACCCTATATAAACATTATTATGGCCTTCCTTGGGGTCTTTTAAGTCGGCCTTCATCTCCTTTCATCTACCTTGAAACCCTAGAGTGCCTTAAGTGAGTTTGGAGCTTGAAAGAGTGTTTGTGGTGGCTTGTGCAAAAGAAGGAGAAAGTTAAAGACTCACTATCTTGAAAGGAGCTTAGAGATCCAAAAGTTACATCATTATTTCGTGATCTTAAAGGTATAAAGTCTCTATCTTGTTCACTCTTCGGTTAGACCTTCTTTGGGTTTTGTTCTTAGTCATTTTAGCCTCTTTTGGTGGTTCTTGTGAGTTATAGTGGTTTTAGAGGATTGGTCTTCTAGATTTGGACGTCTTAGGTGCCCTAAAGGCATAAAAATGTGATCTTTATGGTTTATTTGGACCCATGCATGTGTTAAGACCTTTCATTAAGCTCTTTTGAGCTATAGAGTCCCATTAAGCCATGTATGCAAGTAAAATTGCCAACTTTACGTAATAAGTTATCTATGGAAATCAAATTTGAGAGTTTGGAGCAAGGACTTAAGTGATTAAGTGCTTAATGGAGGAGATTGGGGTTTAGGGGAGTACCTTGGGCGTACCCATCTGGTACGTTGCGCATACTGGCCCCAAAGGGTGTACGTTGGGTGTACCAGCTGAGTACGCGAGTTGTACTCGGCATGTTTGTCCTTTCTTGTTTTGTTTACCTTTCTAGGCATTTGATCTTTGACCAGAAGTGGACTAGGGTAGACCATTAGATCTTTTGGGCTTTCTTGGGATAGATCCATGGTGGATTTGGGCCTAATTTGGATATTTGGGTCTTATTGGGCCTTGTGGTGTCGTTTCAGATTTAGGTTATCGTTTGGCCTTGAATTGCTTGGGGTTTGTTGGACGAGCTGTGAATATGTGTTTTGGATCGGGAATAAGTTATTGGGCTTTAGGGTAAGGCCCATGTAAGGGTTGGGCCCATTTTGGAAAATTGGGCCATAAGTGGACTTTGGATGACTTTTGGTTTGTGGGCCTTTTTATGGGGAGTTTGGGCCTTAGTCTTGGACCAAACTAGTGTTGGATTAATGTCTAAGTCCATAACTATAATTGGTAAGACTTGACCCGACCCGGCATGGTCCATTTGGGTTGCATACCATCATGCACTTGGATAGACTAAATGAGAGAAATAAGACACTTATGGTTATTAATATATTATAAGTTCTAGTATATTAATAATAAGAATAATGAGATTATTTAATTAGTATTGATCAAGAATTAATCTAGCATTAATTGAGTGATCAAAAGAAGACTAATTAAATATATGGGTTGATTGTGTAAATCATCCATACTTGTATAGTGGGCTAATGCTCCATGGATTATCTAGTTGGGCCAAAACCCATATGATGCTCCATGGATGCACCATGGTGTATTTGAACCCATGGATCCAAGGAAATGGAAAGTCATGACAATTAGGGTTTACCCTAATTGTATAACTATATAAGCATCTTATTCTTGAGGAAAAATCGGCCACTAGTGAGAGTAAGAAAGGGCTAGCCGATTTCATGAAGTGTAGAATTCTCTCTAAGTTATTCTAAGTGTTTTGATGATTGTGAACCATTTGAGGTGTCACACTTGGGGCACTAGGCACTCAAGCTTCATGAAGACAAGCTCCATCAAAGAGGTATGTATTCTATCTTGTTATATTGATAGTTATGTATGCTAGTTTAGGATAATATCTTGGATATTCATATTTGCATGTATAATAGAGAAAACATAGATCCAAGGTATTTAGGGTTGCATGTACACTTAGGAGTGTTAGAATGCTCATAACCCAACAACTAGGTGAAGGGTAAAATGATCTTTTACCCCATTTATGGATTATTGAATTTGGTTTGGAACCTAATTATTAATGGGGTGTTATTTGTTTAACACCATGGGGATTCTATCGGATCTGCAGTCGGAGATATTTTTGTGGGATCAGCTATTGAGGTGAGTTTCCTCACTGGTTTTAGCGGGTCTAAGGCACCAAGGCCGACCCTAGTTTGGTTATGTTATTATATTTGTTGTTTGTGTGATACTTGTATGTGCTTGCATATGTATTTTATTGGGTGGGGCCTGTAATTCGAGTGTGGGCGGGGTCCGTATCTCATTAGGCGGGGCCTGTTATTCGAGTGTGGGTGGGGCATGTATCTCATTATTATTCAAGTGTGGGTGGGGCCCGTTATATTATATGTATGCTATGTGGTATTTTGGGGAACTCATTAAGCTTTGTGTTTACGGTTTGTGTTTTATGGTTTCAGGTACTTTCGGTTCGAAAGGGAAGGGCCCGGTTTGATCGCAGCGCATACACCCGTGTTTTTCCGCAATTCGTGATTTTGGGATTTTACTCTGATAGTTGTTTTACTTTGAAATACCTTTAAATGTTTGAATAAGATAAATGAATGGTTGAATGCATATTAAAAAGGAAATTTTACCATATGATTTTCGGGACGTTACAAGTTGGTATCAGAGTCTTGGTTTGAGGGATTTGGGCATACTCTTGGGTATGCTTAGACTCAAATTGAGGATTTGGTGAAAAATTTTCGTAAAATAAATGTTTTATCAAAAAGGATTTCTAATCAAAGAAATGGGTGTGATGCGTGCAATCGACGAACTCAAGTAAGTGGTTCCCAGAATACCAATACATGTTTATTATGATATATGATATGATTGTGAGAATTGCATGCTAGATTAGTGCTAAGGATCTGCTCAGTATTAATATGATAGGAGAGATGCCTTCGTATGTCTGATTGTATGATGAGACAGCCCGGAACCACTACCTTTAGGAGGAGTGTACGACCGTACAACGGCACACTCACCTCTTGGCCGCACAGTCACTTTTTGACAGCACCCTTACCCCTATATAAAAGGTAGCCCCCTTTCCTTTCATTCCTTCAACACCTTGGCAGCACGCTACACTATTCTCTCAAGTTTCTCCAACTTTGAACCCTCCAAAGCTTCAAGAACGTAATTACTTCATCCTCTAACCTGCAAACCATGAAAGACCACTCTATCTAAGCCTTAAGTCTGAAATAATCAACATGTTCTTCATCTCTTTGAAGGAGTGCGGCCGCAAACCTCCTTTAAAGTGATCGCACGCCCTTAAAACACCCTCCAAAGTGAGAGTTTAACTCCCATATTCAAGATAGACATGACCCTATCATTGTTGCACCTTGGAAAGGACAACTTGGACATCAATCTTGTGGGGTGTACGGCCGCACATGCCCTTGTGCGGCAGCATACTCCTTGTGTGCGGCAGCATACTCCTTGTGTGCGGCAGCACACTCCTATGTGCGACCACACACCATCCTAGGGCCGCAAACCCACTTCTAGTACCCTTTAACTTGCACTACAATTGAGTAAAGACCTAGAAAACTTCGTGGATACAAGCATGGACCTTGAGAACACTTCAAAGGCACCCTCTTTCATGAGTGTACGGCCGCACACCCATCGGGTCGCACACACACTCAAGGTGGCCATACACTCCCTTTACTCAAACCTACAAGGTTTTTTCACTTGGTGCAAGTAGTTCCAAGTCCCTAGAGTGATTCTCTATCGTATCTAGTGATAAAATACCTTCATTTGACTCCTATGTGTTGGGATTTGAGCATTTTAACACTTCCTAAGTGTACATGCAACCCTAATAAACCTTGGATCTATGTTTATCTGAGGTACATGCAAAATATTATTTTCCAAGGTTTATAACCTATCTAGAATGGCATGGGGTACTTTTAAAC